CAGAGATTATGTCAACCAAAAAAACACAGGAAATGGAGCGCTGCCAGGAAACCGGTCTCGTCTAAGGAGGATAGAGAAGAGGTTAGAACGCGGAGAATCAGGAGGGAGAAACCAACGGATCTGAGCTTACCACAGAGCGCGGACACCGGACCGGGAGGGAGCAGTGAGAACTCGGCGCTGCCTGATGGTGATGTGACAGGCGTGGCGTGACCAGAGAGCGGGGGAATGAGGAGTTGTCCGAGCAGCCTCCGGAAATCTGAACCAGCGGGAGGAACCAGGGAGAAACGGGAGGCCAGGGACCCACAGACTGGGTGACCAACCTCGATACTCCTGAGAGGACCTGGAAGGATCCGCCACGAGAGGAGGAGATGATTCACGAGAGAGAACCTGGGAGACACAAACGCAGGAGTATGAGCCAGAGAAAAGGTAGGTTAGGCGAAAGGCCGTGGCCGATCAGGCATACCGCAATGGTAACACTCTGGCGTCCTCCCGCTGTCTGAGCGCTGCTCAAATAGTGCAGGGCCGGTGCTGCTGAACCACTTGCAGGTGTGCGTGCCCCGCCCTCCAGTCAACGACAGACACCTGCGAAGGTAAACAGAAGAGGCCGAGGCCTGACACCACCCCCCCCTCAACGGTCGCCTCCTGGCAAGCACGAGGAAGATGGACGGGAGGACAGGAAGGAGTCGATCAGGGACCGATCCGGGATGGAAGAGCCAGGAAGCCAGGACCGATCCTCAGGACCGCAACCCACCCAGTCGACGAGGTACTGAAAACCTCTGCCTCGGGGACGGGAGGCCACAATCCGTTGGACCTGACGTCCGTGGTGATCCTGGGTTGGCGGAGGGGGTTCAGCCGGAGGGCAGAAAGAACTGGTGACAACGGGCTTGATCTGGGACACGTGGAAGGTGGGATGGACTCTGGAGTGAGATGGAAGACGGAGGCGGACGGTCGAGGGGCTAACTATGGAGATGATCTCATAGGGGCCGGCAAAACAGGGAGACAGCTTCCGACTGGTGGCCCGGGAGGGGATGTCTCGAGTGGAGAGCCAGACTCGCTGACCGGGATGGTAACTGGGGGCAGGGCGCCGCCTCCGGTCAGCGAATCGGCGGTTCTGTTCGGCAGTCTGTCTGAGTGCTTGGATGGTTTGGTTCCAGAACTGCCTACAACGAAGGATGTGGTGGTTAACAGTAGGGACGGCGATCTGTCTGTTATCCTCGGGGAGTAACGGGGGTTGGTAACCAAGGGAGACCTCAAAGGGGGACCTGCCAGTAGCTGTGGAGATGTGGCTATTGTGAGCGTACTCCACCCAAGGAAGGTACTTGCTCCAATCAGAGGGGTTATTGGACGTGAGACAACGGAGGGCGGTCTCCAGCTCCTGGTTCAATCGCTCTGTCTGACCGTTTGTCTGCGGGTGGTAACCGGAGGTAAGGGTATACCGGGCCCCCAGGGCCCTGGCAAATTCCTTCCAAACCCGCGAGATGAATTGAGGACCACGGTCAGACAGTATGTCCTGCGGGATGCCGTGCAGACGAAAAACATGCTTAACCAGGAGCTGGGCCGTCTGGAGAGCTGAGGGGAGTTTTCTAAGGGGGATGAGATTGCAGGCCTTGGAAAAACGGTCTACAACAGTGAGGATGGTGGTCATACCTTGTGAAGGAGGGAGGCCGGTCACAAAATCGAGGGCTATGTCAGACCAAGGGCGCTCGGGAACAGGTAATGGCTGGAGGAGGCCTGCGGGAGGTCTGTTGGAGGACTTATTCTGGGCACAAACAGGACAAGATTGGACAAACTGTTTGGTGTCTTGGGAGATGGTGGGCCACCAGAAACGTCGGGAGAGAAACTTGAGGGTTCTAAGGATGCCTGGATGAGCAGAGAATTTCTCAGAGTGGGCCCACTGGATGACTCGGGCACGGACAGAGGTGGGGACATAGGTGCGGTTAACCGGGCCATTGCCTGGATCTGGGTCAGAACGTTGAGCCTGTGAGATCATGTCTTGTATCTCCCACTGGAGGGCACCGAAAACACAGGAGGGATGTAGGATGGGAACTGGTTCCTTATCAGAGTCGGGGGGAGCATAGAGGCGAGACAGGGCTTCAGGTTTCTGGTTCTTTGAGCCAGGGCGGTAGGAGATTGTTAAGTTGAAGCGGGAGAAGAAAAGGGACCAGCGGGCCTTGCCTAGGGTTCAAACGTTTGGCAGACTGGAGGTAGGCCAGATTCTTGTGGTCGGTCCAAATTAACACGGGCTGCTCGGACCCCTCTAGCCAATGGCGCCACTCTTCCAGGGCTAGCTTAATGGCCAGGAGCTCCCTGTCCCCAACATCATAGTTACGCTCTACCGGGGTCAGACGCCGAGAGAAAAAGGCGCAGGGATGAAGCTTCTGGTCTATGTCCGAGCACTGGGACAACACCGCCCCAACCCCAGAGTCAGAAGCGTCAATTTCAATGGTGAATTGTTTGGCAGGGTCAGGGTGAATGAGGATGGGTGCTTGCGAGAACCTTCTCTTAAGGTCGGTGAAGGCTCTGTTTGCCTCGGGGTTCCAAACGAAGGGGACCTTGACAGAAGTAAGAGCGTGGAGGGGAGCTGCAATCTGACTGTACCCCCTGATAAAGCGCCGGTAAAAGTTAGCAAAACCAAGAAAACGTTGCAACTCCCTCCTAGTCTCTGGTACAGGCCAGTTGAGCACAGCCTTAATCTTCTCGGGGTCCGATCGGACCTGCCCCCCCTCCAGGATGAGTCCGAGAAAAGTGACCGAGTGCTTGTGAAACTCGCACTTCTCCGCCTTGACAAACAACCTGTTCTCCAGAAGCCGTTGGAGGACTAGGCGAACGTGATGTATATGTTCGGAGAGGGTGCGGGAGTAAATGAGGATGTCATCTATGTACACGAAGACAAAGATGTTTAGAAAGTCACGGAGAACATCATTGACCAGAGCCTGGAAGACAGCAGGAGCGTTGCACAGGCCGAAGGGCATGACCTGATATTCAAAGTGACCAAGGGGTGTCTTGAAGGCCGTCTTCCACTCATCCCCCCGGCGGATCCGCACTAAGTGGTAAGCGCGACGTAAATCTAACTTAGTGAAGATGGTGGCAGACTGGACCGGCTCGAGGGCGGAGGAGAGGAGCGGGAGAGGGTATTTATTTTTAACAGTTATCGCGTTTAGGCCGCGATAGTCAATGCACGGACGGAGGGAGCCGTCCTTCTTGGAAACGAAGAAAAACCCCGCACCGAGAGGCGAAGACGACGGGCGGATAAGTCCAGCTGCGAGAGACTCCTTGATATATTTCTCTAACGCCTGACGTTCGGCCCGAGAAATATTATAGAGACGGCTCGTCGGTAGCGGGGCACCTGGCAGAAGGTCGATGCCGCAATCGTACGGGCGATGTGGCGGAAGCGAGCAGGCCAGGGTCTTACTGAAAACCTGCTTGAGGTCATGATACTGCTCAGGCACCAGTTTCAAGTTCTCAGGGTCAACCTGAGCACAGGACAGTTCAGGAGGTGGACTAGGCGGTTCAGCAGATTGCAGACATTCTGCATGACATCTGATTGACCAAGAATTAACCCTTCGGTCGACCCAGTTTATCTGCGGGTTATGCATCTGCAACCACGGGAAACCAAGAACGATCGGAGCATGCTTAATAGGAAAAACTAAAAATGTAACTCCTTCTCTATGGTTACCAGAGACCACGAGTTCAAGGGGCTCAGTACGATGGGTTATTCTAGGAAGAACCCCGCCGTCCAGGGCGGAAACCTGGAGGGGCGTGCACAAAGGGATCGTCTCAAGACGAGCGCGCAGGACAAAGGTCCGATCGATTAAATTAAAATCGCACCCTGAATCAACGAGGGCGGACAACTTAAAGGTCTGCTGAACAGAAACGATTGCAGCCTGGAGACAGAGCCGCGGAGGTGAAGACAAAAGTAACTGAGATTGGTCCGCCGGTTCCTCCGCTACGACCGACGGACCAGTTCTTTTGGGCGCTCAGGGCACTCCCGAATAAAATGATCAGGCGAGGCGCAATACAGGCATAACCTAGAGTCCATGCGCTGCTGTCTTTCCTCTGGGGTGAGCCGCACCCGGCCCAGCTGCATGGGTTCCGGGGGGGAAGGCGAAACTGCAGCGGGTCTGAGGGCGCTTCGATCAGGCTGGGGCAGTAGACTAAAGGTGGCTCTCTCTGGACGACCTCGGCTCTGAGTCCGAAGCCGGTTATCTAAACGAACCGCCAGGGTGATGTAATCATTTAAGGTGGAAGGTTCCTCTAGCCGAGCTAATTCGTCCTTAAGAGACTCGTCAAGAGCCTGGAAAAACACCGACTTGAGAGCGCGTTCCTCCCAACCTGCCGCAGCCACCAAGGTCCGGAACTCTATGGCAAAATCGGCTACGCGTCTTCCACGCTGCCGAAGAGCTAAGAGCCGCCGTGAGTCCTGCACCTCATTAGAGTCGGTTGCAAAAACCATCTTAAATTCTGACAAAAACTCTTCAAATGTGCAGCCAAACCTCTGGCAGTCGGTTTGAAAATAAAAGAAATTTTCACATGATCCTGGGCGTACAAACGTGGGGAACGGTTAAAAACGGGTGAGCACTGGAAAAGGAATCCCCCACAATCTCCGCTGTCACCTGAGAACCTCTCCGGATTGGGCGAGGTGGGCTCGGGGGCGGAGAATGACGTCTCCGCTGACGCGGGGCCGGGGGCGGGGCCCGGGGACGCGGCTGCCTGGGGGCTCGCGCTTAGCACGCTAGTCAGCTGATTGATCTGAGCTGCAAAGCCCTGTAACTGACTCTGCAGCCCTAAAACGGTGGCTTCTAGACCCCGAATCTGGTCCTGTTGAGCGGTTAACGCCCTACCGAGTGCGTTCGCTGGGTCTGTTTGGCCAGAGTGTTCTTCTGTCATGTTTGGCTTTAGGTGCCGCGCCCACATGCAGAAACACACTCGGAAAAACAGGCACAGTCTCAGGGTCTTTATTAACAATTAGTCAAGCAGATCACAGAGATTATGTCAACCAAAAAAACACAGGAAATGGAGCGCTGCCAGGAAACCGGTCTCGTCTAAGGAGGATAGAGAAGAGGTTAGAACGCGGAGAATCAGGAGGGAGAAACCAACGGATCTGAGCTTACCACAGAGCGCGGACACCGGACCGGGAGGGAGCAGTGAGAACTCGGCGCTGCCTGATGGTGATGTGACAGGCGTGGCGTGACCAGAGAGCGGGGGAATGAGGAGTTGTCCGAGCAGCCTCCGGAAATCTGAACCAGCGGGAGGAACCAGGGAGAAACGGGAGGCCAGGGACCCACAGACTGGGTGACCAACCTCGATACTCCTGAGAGGACCTGGAAGGATCCGCCACGAGAGGAGGAGATGATTCACGAGAGAGAACCTGGGAGACACAAACGCAGGAGTATGAGCCAGAGAAAAGGTAGGTTAGGCGAAAGGCCGTGGCCGATCAGGCATACCGCAATGGTAACACTCTGGCGTCCTCCCGCTGTCTGAGCGCTGCTCAAATAGTGCAGGGCCGGTGCTGCTGAACCACTTGCAGGTGTGCGTGCCCCGCCCTCCAGTCAACGACAGACACCTGTGAAGGTAAACAGAAGAGGCCGAGGCCTGACAAACAGTAATTGATTATTTTCCAAAAAGGCTTTTGTCTGAGTGTTTAAAAAAAAAGTCTGCCTTAGAAGTAGTGTGACGTTTTAATCAGCTTTTAAAGACAGTAAAATTCCTAAGAAGCTACAGACTGCTTCAGAGAAAGAATTCTTTAACAAACTCTTTAAGGCCTTTAAGGCCTTGAAAATATATGGAATTATCCACTTTGCGACGGCTAGCGATCTGAAGGACTTTGTTGTAGAACGGTTTAATTGTACACAGAAAACAACAATGTGGTATCATTTCACTGCTAATAACTTGCAGAGATACGGGCGTGCTTCAAGATCTTGTTAAAAGGTATAATCACAGCTATCATTCCAGTATAAAAATGACCCCTATGGAGGTTTCCTTTGAAAAAAAAGACCAAGTCCTAAGGAATCTTTTCGGTCGGAAGGTTGAAAAACAAAGAAAGAAAGCAACAGAGAAGACATTTTTGAAGGCTTACCTGGTTAGAATTTGATAAGGGGTGTTTGATAAGAAATCTGAATAAAGCTTTTCGGATAAAATTTTCACCATATCTGAAAGCGTTGGTCAATCTCATCTGGTGTATAAATTAGTGGACTACGATGGAGAGCAGATTGATGGATCTTTTTACGGAGAAGAAATATAGAGAGTCAAAATACCCAAAGACAAGATGTACCAAGTGGAAATGATATTAAAGCAATGCACACTCAGAGATGAACAACTCCACCCATTTTAGCTTTTTATCTGCTTTAACCTCTTAACATCCACCTCATTTTGGGTAATCCTCACCTATTTTGCATACCCAAATGGAAAAGTCAAGTTAACTTAGGAACTGTAAGCCAAAATTACATGTGCAATACATTATTTGAAAGCTAACTCCCTTTAGTTTCCTAATATATAAATTAAAATTGGGTAACTAGAACACAGACCAACCTGCATCAGTTCAAACATGACTCAAAGTTGTTATTGTTTATTCTCGGAAATTATAGGTATTATTTGAACAGCAGTAATAAAGAAATTCTTGAAAAAACGCAGGTTTTATTGGAATATATTTGTTCTACATCATGTCAACCATAAATGCAGAAAATTTCAGACCTCTAGCTATAACAGTTCCAGAGCAGTGGGCCTTTGAACTTTTGGTGTCAGCTTGGAGCTGCGCGCAATGGCTCCACCTGCTGGTAAAATTTTACCAGTGGAATTTTATGCATTCTGAGTTATTACCCCCACTTAAGGTCCACAAAGATGGAGCAAGGAATCCCAGCACATTTCAAACCAAACAAACAGAGGCTAGTGTATACTAAGGACAAAATCCCCAGAATATGAGCGGAGTGGTGTATGTTGTTTAGTGCAGTGAGGAATGCTCTTTGAAGATAATCTTTATGATGTTGAAATTTATGTTGTTTGGAGAAACCAAACAACCTCTCCACAGACGCATGGCCCAACACAGAAGAGCAACTTCTGGACAAGACTCTGCTGTACATCTACACTTTGTGGACAAAGGACATTCTTTTGAGGACCAGAATGTTCACATTTTGGACAAAGAAAATAGGTGGTTTGAGAGGGGCGTGAAGGAAGCCATCTATGTTAAGAGAGAAAAACCAACCTTAAACAGAGGGGGTGGACTCAGATTCCAGCTTCCAAAAATTTACAATTCAGCAATAGAGTTGATCCTTGCAGGTATCATCGCATCCCCCACCCCATTAGAGGGGTACAGAGCACCTCCCCTTTTCAGCCAGGTGAACAACAAACAATGTCAGTGGAACTTAGAGGAGGGATATTCAATTCAATTCAGTTTATTTATATAGCGCCAAATTCACAACACATGTCATCTCAAGGCACTTTACAGTTCAACCAGATCATACAGTCAAATAAATACAAAGTTTTCTATCTAAGGAAAACCAGTTTATTGCATCGACTCATTGACTTAAATACAATCCCTCACACTAAGCATGCTTGTAGCGACAGTGGAGAGGAAAAACTCCCTTTTAACAGGAAGAAACCTCCAGCAGAACCAGGCTCAGTGTGAGCGGCCATCTGCTGAGGCCGACTGGGGTTCAAGGAGACGGAAGCAGAGATACAAAAAGCAGCTGTAAAAGGCGGCCCCGTCCAGGAAACACACAGCCAGGCAGACGAGCTCCGAGCCAGCTCCCATGTCAGAGGACGAAGAGAGCACATCCACCCAGTCACAGCACAGCTGATGTTTCTTTCCAGGATGACGTCACAGCCAAACAGGAACAGACGAGGCAAAGCTACTCTGAGGAAAAGCAGAGAGAGCAGAAGGTTAGAGATTGAACTAACAGATTCTGCAGAATAGGAGAACAGAGAGAGAATGAAGCAGAATGATGAAATGGGGGTCCCTATGTCCTCCAGAAGTCTAAGCCTATAGCAGCATAACTATAGAGATAGCTCAGGATAACCTGAGCCACCCTAACTATAAGCTTTATCAAAAAGGAAAGTTTTAAGCCTAGCCTTAAAAGTAGACAGGGTGTCTGCCTCACGGACTAAAACTGGTAGTTGGTTCCACAGGAGAGGAGCCTCATGACTAAAAGATCTGCCTCCCATTCTATTTTTAGAAATTCTAGGAACCACTAGTAAACCTGTAGAATGAGAGCGAAGTGCTCTGTTAGGAACATAAGGAACAATCAGATCTCTGATATAAGATGGAGCTTGGCCATTTAAGGCTTTATATGTGAGAAGGAGGATTTTAAATTCAATTCTTGATTTAACAGGAGGCCAATGAAGAGAAGCAAGGATAGGAGAGATGTGATCTCTCTTTTTAATTTTCATTAGAACTCTGGCTGCAGCATTTTGGATCAGCTGAAGGCTTTTAACTACAGTTTGTGGACTTCCTGATAGTAAAGAATTACAATAGTCCAGCCTTGAAGTAACAAATGCATGGACTAGTTTCTCAGCATCACCCCTGGACAGGAGATTTCTAATTTTTGCAATGTTCCTCAGATGAAAGAAGGAAATTCTAGAAACCTCTTTGATATGGGATTTAAATGACAGGTCCTGATCAAAAATAACACCAAGATTTTTTACTTTATTATCTGAAATCAGTTTAATCCCATCCAAATGAAGTGACTGGCTAATCAGTTTCTTTTTCAGAGACTCTGGTCCAAAGACTATAACTTCTGTTTTTTCTGCATTCAGAAGCAGACAGTTAAGAGTCATCCAGGTTTTTATGTCTTCAAGACATGCCTGTAATCTATGTAATGGGTTAGCTTCATCTGGATTTATAGACAGATATAGCTGGGTATCATCAGCATAACAGTGAAAATTAATCCCATGCTGTCTAATAATTCTACCAATTGGGAGCATGTATAAAGTAAAGAGAATTGGTCCTAGCACTGATCCCTGTGGTACTCCACAGGTAACCTTTAAGCATGTTGAAGATCTATCATTAACATGAACAAACTGAATTCGATCAGATAGATAAGATTTAAACCAGTCTAGTGCTGTTCCTTTAATTCCAACAAAATATTCAAGTCTTACTAAAAGAATATTATGGTTAACTGTATCAAATGCAGCACTAAGATCCAACAGGATGGATGTGGTTGTGCAACTACAGGTGCTGGTCATAAAATTAGAATATCATGAAAAAGTAGATTGATTTCAGTAATTCCATTTAAAAAGTGAAACTTGTATATTATATTCATACATTACATACAAACTCATATATTTCAGATGTTTATTTTGTTTAATTTTGATGATTATAAATGACAACAAATGAAAATCTCAAATTCATCATATCAGAAAATTTGAATATTGTGAAAAGGTTCAAAATTGATGGCCCCTGGTGCCACACTCTAATCAGCTAATTAACTCAAACCACCTGCAAAAGCCTTTAAATGGTCTTTCAGTCTAGTTCTATGGGCTACACAATCATGGGGAAGACTGCTGACTTGACAGTTGTCCAAAAGACGACCATCGACACCTTGCACAAGGAGGGCAAGACACAAAAGGTCATCGCTAAAGAGGCTGGCTGTTCACAGAGCTCAGTGTCCAAGCACATTAATAGAGAGGCGAAGGGAAGGAAAAGATGTGGTCGAAAAAAGTGTACAAGCAAGAGAGATAACCGCACCCTGGAGAGGATTGTGAAACAAAACCCATTCAAAAATGTGGGGGAGATTCACAAAGAGTGGACTGCAGCTGGAGTGAGTGCTTCAAGAACCACCACACACAGACGTATGAAAGACATGGGTTTCTGCTGTCGCATTCCTTGTGTCAAGCCACTCTTGAACCACAGACAGCGTCAGAACCGTCTTGCCTGGGCTAAAGAGAAACAGGACTGGACTGCTGGTGAGTGGTCCAAAGTCATGTTCTCTGATGAAAGTAAATTTTGCATTTCCTTTGGAAATCAAGGTCCCAGAGTCTGGAGGAAAAGAAGAGAGGCACTTCATCCACGTTGCTTGAAGTCCAGTGTAAAGTTTCCACAGTCAGTGATGGTTTGGGGTGCCATGTCATCTGCTGGTGTTGGTCCATTGTGTTTTCTGAGGTCCAGGGTCAACGCAGCCACATACCTGGAAGTTTTAGAGCACTTCATGCTTCCTGCAGCTGACCAACTTTTTGGAGATGCAGATTTCATTTTCCAACAGGACTTGGCACCTGCACACAGTGCCAAAGCTACCAGTACCTGGTTGAAGGACCATGGTATCCCTGTTCTTAATTGGCCAGCAAACTCTCCTGACCTTAACCCCATAGAAAATCTATGGGGTATTGTGAAGAAGAAGATGCAATACACCAGACCCAACAATTCAGAAGAGCTAAAAGCCACTATTAGAGCAACCTGGGCTATCATAACACCTGAGCAGTGCCACAGACTGATCGACTCCATGCCACGCCGCATTGCTGCAGTAATACAGGCCAAAGGAGGCCCAACTAAATACTGAGTGCTGTACATGCTCATACTTTTCATGTTCATACTTTTCAGTTGGCCAACATTTCTATAAATCCTTTGTTTTTATTGGTCTTCAGTAATATTCTAATTTTCTGA